TCTTGGTGGACTCTTGGACCGTCTTCAACGCCGTGAAGGGCCACAAGTCGTATATGATACAACATGTGCGGTTTCCCATAGGCATTGGTGTGGCCTCTTGGGTCCCTCTTGGGAATGCTCTGGATAACCCCGGCAGTGCCAAGTGTTACACATAATTATGTACACGTGTATGCCAATATAAATAAATATATGTGTATGTATGTGTATATATATAGAGATAGATAGATCGAAGACGCCTACGGAGAATCACCGCCGCCCCCTGCCTTTGTGGAAGCGCCTATGTGGCCGAACGCTGAGGCCAGACCTGCCAAGCTTTCGGACCATGTGTTCCCCGAATCGGTTTGGAAAGCCTTCGGGGAACACACACGTGGGCATCTTGAAGGTCATCTGGGCCGTCTGAAGGCCATTTTGACCCTTTCGGGCCTTGTTGGAGGGCGTCTTGGCGGGCTCTTGAGCCGTCTTGGAGGCCATCTTGAACGTTTTGCAGGCCTCTTCGGCCGTCTTGGGGGCCTCTTGGGGCCGTCTTGGGCCTCGTGGGCGATCTTTGGGGGCACTTGGGCCGTCTCGGGCCGTCGGAAGGCCGACAGAAGGCAAATGCCACAATTCTTCAAAAACTCGTGGGAAATCAATGTTGTTGGCCATTTTGGGCCTTCCTGGAGGCCCTCTTGGCGGCCTCTTGGGCTGTCTAGGGCCAGCTTCGAGCCAATTTCGGCCATCTTGGTGGGCCCCTGGCCCGTCCGACGCCGTCGGAAGCCGTTTGGGGGGTCTCTCTGGGCCGACTTGATGCCTTCTTGGGGCGCTCCAGGGCCGTCTCAGAGGCCATCTTGAGCGTCTGAAGCGCCTCCTGGGCCGTCTTGGGGGCCTCCTGGGGCCGTCTTGGGGGCCTTTGGACCGTTCTGGGGCCATCTTGAGCGATTCTTGGGCGATCTATTTGGGGGCTCTTGGGCCGTCTCGGGCCGTCGGAAGGCCGAAACGAAGCAAATGTCAAAATCCTTCGAAAACCTTGGGAAAATCAGTGTTTGTTGAGGCCTCTTGGGGGGGCTCTTGGGGCCTCTTGGGGGCCTCTTGAGGCCTCTTGGGGGGCCTCTTGGGGGCCTCTTGGGGCCTCTTGGGGTGCCTCTTGGGGGCCTCATGGGCCCTGTTGGGCGCCTCTTGGGGCCTCCTGGGGCCGTCTTGGGGCGGAAGGCTCGGATTGTTGGTTCAGGCTCCCCCTCTTGGGCCCCTCTTTGGGCCGTCTTGGGGCGCTCTTGGGCCGTCTTGGAAGCCTCTTAGGCCGTCTTGGCGCCCTCTTGGGCCGTTTCGAGCGCCTCTTGGGGGCCTCTTGGGCAGTTTTGGGGCGGTCTTGGGGGACTATGGGGCCGTCTTCCACGCCGTGACGGCCGAAAAGTCGTGCATGATAAACATGTACGTTTTCCATACGGTTCAACGATGTTGGCCTCTTGGGCCCCTTGTGGGAATGCTCTTGGAGGCTTCCTGGGCTGTCTGGGAGGCTTCTGGGGCCGTCTTGGGGCCATCCTGGGCGTCTTGGGCCGACCTTTGGGCGTCTCGGGGGCCTCTTGGGCCGTCGTGGGGGCTGCTTGGAGCCCTCTGGGGCCTCGTGGGGCCTGATGGCACCTTTGCCTCCAGCCCCCCCCTCCAAATTTTGCCCGACCAGGCTCCCAGGGGAGGGGTTTGGGGAGGGGAAAGCATCTCACACGCCGTGACCCCAAAGGGTCGGCGGATTTCACACTCCCCTCTTGGACGCCCCTCTCGTAGACGCCCCCGAGCCTGAGACACCCTCACCCTACCAGAACCCCTCGGCCGTTGCACACGCGACACTCCTGTCACCCGTCTGCAAATTGCCCATTGTGAGTGTTATCTCTTCTCAGTTGTCGTCGCGGACGACCGTCGTCGCTGACGGTGGTCGTTGACGGTCGTCGGCGTCGTCGCCGTTTTTGTCACGCTGCACGACGTTTTATTGCGCCCAACGGTGGGCGGAAAGATTTAGGGAACGCCTCCTCCCTCTCTTCCGAAATTCAAAGTTGACGCGTCGGGGGACGACCGTGCCAAAGTGCAAATCAGATACCCAGGCAACATTGACCATGGGAGAAGGGGGAATATGAGGTGGCACGAGTGTTCGCTATTTGTTTCGGACGCCTGTGGCAATGCCGCCTGGCGTGTGGTCCCTACTCCTCGAACTGCCATGCTCGTCACCATGCTGGCGCGGTCGGTTCGCCACGTACGCCAGGCGTGCCAAGTGCGCCAGTTTGGCGAAGTGGTCCGTGCATTCGATTCGTCAAGGCGGCCAGGTTCGCGAGTTCCGCTCGGCACGCCAACCGCGCGCAGGCGGGCGTCCAAATCCTCCTGCTCGGCGACTTCGCCACCCTGGGTTTGTATTCAGAAGCGCTTCGAATGTACTGTCCGTCTACCGTGCGAGAACGTGTAGTGACCGTCGGAATGGCCTGCCGCGGCTTACGAGTGGCCATGCGAGGACATGGATGGGGCCATCAAGATTGCGCGCCGCGGCTTGGAATCGCCCGTGCTCGCACGCCGGGGAATTGCCGGGACTCGAAGAAGAAAGCATGGCATGAACATAAATTTGTGGCGCTCCGCGCGGATTTCCTCTAGCCGCGCTGGGCGCCCCTGGCGCCCTCCCCGCGCTGGGGAAGGGGGGTCCAGCGCAGATCCAAGAACTCCGCGCGGAACGCCAAGAGTACATGTCCGTGCCGCGGTTTCTTGATCCAGGGACTGCCTGCCGTGGCCTGCCATTGCCCATGCGAGGACGCGCAGCGAGGGGCCGCCGGGATTGCCAGCCGCGGCTTGCAGCTGCCCGCGCGCCGGCCAGAGCCCCCCAGCCGCGCGGCGGCGCTTCGCGCAGTGCTCGCGTGCACCCGCCAGGTGCAGCCAGGCGCAGCCAGGATCCAGGCCTCCCAGGTGGGGCCCGAGTGGGCGGGGTCGGAGGATCGCACCGCCTCGCCGATGCATCCGCGGTGCGGCAGCGCCGACGTCGCAGGTGCATCGGCGATGCATCGGCGATGCATCGAGGATGCGGCGTGGCCCTCCGACCCCACACTCTCGGACCCCATCTGGGAGGCCTATACTGTGGCAGCCGCGTGCTCCACTTGCAGCCAGGAGCGGCAAGTGCGCCGTAGTCCGCCCGCGCCCTATTTTCCGTGCACCGCTCGCAACCCTCGTCCCATGGCTCTCTCTGTTCAGCATCTTACTCGTATCGCTCGCTAGAGAAGAATACCCACTACTCTCATAACTCTTCTGACGAGCGGCACGAGCGATGCGTACAACAGAAGGTGCGATGGGACGAGCGATACGAGCGACCCGCGAAGCAGAAGATGGAATGCGACATGCGCCACCCTGGAAGCAGCGGCCCCGCCAGCCCTGGCCCCCGGCAGGCCGCCGGAGCGGCCGCCGCGTGCGCGGGCGCCCGCGCGCGCGAAGAGCACGAGAGAGGGGCTTGGCATCGCTCGGACGTGTGCATGTTTTTCTTCGGCGAGGACCATCGAGGAGCATCCTTGATCATTTGGCGAAACAACCACGCACGAAACCGAAAAAAACACAGGGAATGGACGTCCGAGCGATGGCCAGGGCGCACTCGGCTCACCCCGCGCACGCGGCAGCACAGGCAGAGTCGAGACCTTCGGGATTGCCTGCCGCGGCGCGCAGTCCTCCGTGCGAGGACACGAAGGGACCCCGCGCGGACATGCCACCGAGTCGGGCCCCTCGAGCCACGGAGCGCTTCGAAGAATGCGGGGACGTGGGGCCAGACGGATTTGGTACAGTTTTGCACATCGCAGCTCAGTGGTCGCCATCGGCGAGAGCGACCACCTCGCACCTCGCCGCCCGGCACCAGCGGTCCGGGCCCGGGGCTCGGCCCTCCCAGGTCTCTCGGAGGCCCCAGCCACCCTGAGGCTTACAGTCGGGGCCCTGAAGAAGGAACCCTTTTCGTTGGGGAGGGGCTCCGCGTTCCTTAAGTGTTTCACAGCTTGCCTCAGGCTTTCATTATGTTTTTTCGACAGGAAATATAAGGTTAACTTATGGGAAAAAGTGGCTTCGTTCCTTATTTAGGGTTCCTTAGGTCAACCCGCATTGTTGTTGCCAGTGTGTCCGGCGGCTTCAAATGTTGCACGAGTTTCAGGAAGCGTAAGTTTGCAAACGAATGCTTTCTTTCCCCCTTTCCTAACATGCTGCGCGCCGGGGCCCGGCGACTATGGAAGCGCTCGTTCCCGAGCCTGGAAGCAGGGAGGGTACCGAATGGTGCGGACGGAACATCAGCAACGCCATAATGTAGATTTCATGTTTGGGATAGAAGGTTCCAGTCCCCAGATGTGATAGTCGGGGGTGGACAGAACCCCCAACAGTGACACGTCGATTAGTGAATTGTCCGTTTTCGGCTCTCGAGAGGGCGCCGTGGCCGTTATTTTCCAGGCTTGCGCCCGCCAGGTTTGGGCCTCAGGTCGTTTTCACTAAACCACGCTTTACCAAATGGGGGTCTGTCCATCCCCGAGTTAGCTCGGCCAGCCATCGCGTGCACCGCCCCTCATTCCAGCGGGGTAGTACGAGCGTGATCTCAGAATCCGGCTTCGGAGTTCGCGCGCATGGGCAAATCTGGCACAGCCACGCCTTTGCTGCGCCTGAAACGCTTGACGAAGCCAGCGACATTAGCACACTTGGCGCGCGTGGCATCATCTGCATCATGACTACGGCGGTTTGGCAAATACCTCTACCGGCACATCGCGAGCCATGTGACGGTAGGCGGACAGAATTAAGGAACGCCCCTTTCTCTCCCGAAATCGGGGGACGACCGCGGCGAAGTGCAATTCCTGATCCCCCACCAACATTGACCATGGGGGAAGGTGGGGGATATGAGGTGGCACGAGGGTTCGTTATTTGTTTCCGATGCCTGTACCACCACGTACTATTCTTGTCTTCTTGCCCCCCACCTTACCCCTCCTCCCCCACCGCCCTCTTCACCTCCGCACTACCTTGCTTCCTCCCTCCAGCAGCAGGCCGCGTACGACGCCAGCGCGCTACTGCGGGTCCTGCGGCGCATGCCCAAGGTGCACCATGCTGCCTCCTTCCCCATCCCGCCCATCCTCCCCCATTCTCCGCTTCACATCCTCCTCAATATTGCCCCCGCCTTCCTCACTCTCCTGCGCCTCCTCCCGCGTCATCCTCTCTATCCTCCTCGTCCTTCTCCACCTCCTCCTACCCACCTTGCACTTCTGAAGTACCCTCTCCTCCCTACCCCTCCCATTCTCCTCCCCCATTCCCTTTCTTCCTCCTGTACGGTCCATCCGCCTCTCTCCGCCTTCTCTCCTCGTCATAGTCGTCGTCGTCCTTCTACGCCGCATATTCCCTCGATCCTGTGTTCGTGTTCCCCTTCAGTCCTCCTGCCTGCGTCCCCCTCCTTTCCGTCATGGCGCTCTCCCGCGTCGTGCACTCCTCCGCCTCCTGGGTGGTGGTTTGACTGCTGGCCCTCCAGCCCCGAGCTCCCCACCACCCGCCCTCTCACTCTGCCCCCGGCCGTCGGGGAGGGGACTCGGGTGGGCTGGGTGGCGGGCGCCGCACATCATTCCCCAGCACGCTTCCCCCCTGCCCTCCCCAGGAGGGAAAGAAACACACAGGCACAAATAATCGTCGATTCCCAAAACATATTGGAAAATATGGGAAGTGGGGGGGGAGACAAAAGCCAGAACATGTGTGAACATATAGGGAATCCTGTCATTTGTGTGTGTATTTATTTGTGTGCCCCAGCGCCCCTTCACCTCCGTCCTGTTTGCATCAATGTTCTTTCTTTCCTCTACTTCTCTGGCCCTTCCATCGCCATCCCTCGTCCTTCTCCGCCCTCCAAGGCGATCTCTCCGCCTCCACCCTATCTATCCGCCAGTTGTCAGCCCCCCTCCTCTCATCTATTCTCCCGCCGCTCTTTTTTTCCTCCCCCATCATCACTTACTTCCTCTTCTCCCGCCCAGGGGCGCCCGAGTGGCTCCCTACCCCGTCACACAGGGGACCCCGGGTCATGGAGGTTGGGGTCCTCGGTCCTGCGCCGGCCACCGCCTGGGCCATGCGTTTTTGAGGCCTGGCCCGGTGGCGCTCCTGGCGCACATCCCACGGCACACTCATCTGCGGGAGCATGTGGAATTCCTTGTTCTGGTGGTGTTTTTTTTCAGTGCATGAGCCCCCCCTCCCTCCCCTCCTCTGCGGAAGGGCGCAGTGCTTCACACCCACGGCATCGCCACGGGGGACTTTCGCGAGCTCGCCCGCCGGGTCAGGGCCAGCGACAGCAAGGTCTGGACCTACATTCCGAAAGCTTGCACGCCCGGTCAGCCCCCGTCTTTCAACACGATTTCCTGAACAGCATTCATGCACCCTCCTCCTCTTCCTCCTCCTCATCCTCCCCCTCCTCCTCCTCCACCTCCTCCTCCTCCTCCTCCTCCCTTCCTTTTCTTTATGAATGACTCCTCCCTCTCGCACGCCGATGCTAGTCGGAAGGGTGGGCTGGGCGTTTCGTCTGAGATGTTCTTACCATTTATGATCCTGAGGCTCAAAAATTGGCAGCCGTTTCACGGATGGAGGGCGGGTGTTTTTCAAAATGTGGTTCTCGTTTTTGAGCCGCGCACATTCGTTTGAATTATCTTGGCGAAGGACCCCACTACATGTTGTTGAGAGTCCCGTCGTTGTGAGTATCACCTTCGGGGGATCTCATTGTGGGGCCACTAAGCGTGTGAAAGATGCGACGAAATGGGGCGGGGTCGGCATGCGGGCGCTGCAACTGGGGCTTTAGGTAGAACCTCCTATGAGGCCACGAAACGTGTGTGGAGTTGGCTGGCGGGCGTTTTATTGAATCGCTTCGCTCATTCCGCCGGCCCGTGATATGGCATCGCTGGTTTTTGTCTGTGTGTTCGTTGCCCATGTTGCGCTCTTGGGGGCGGGTGTCGTTCGGACGCGTTGCGTGGGGAGTTTTGATGGTGAAGCAGTTCCCTGGGGGTCGTCTCTCGATGGGGCGAAATAGAGTCGTCGTCAAGATGCTTCTTTGGGGGGCCTCTTGGGGTCTGTTGAGAGGCCGTTCGGGGGCGCCTGGGAGACATGTTTGAAGCCTTCTGGGGCTTCTTTTGGGCCTCCTGGGAGTCTCCTGGGGCCTCTTGGCGACATCTTGGGGCCTCTTGGAGGCCTCTTGGGGCCTCTTTGGGACCTCCTGGGCGCCTTCTGGGACGGAGGGCTCCATTTTTGAGTTCTCGGTATCCCTCCTGAGTCCCTCTTGGGCCCGTCTTGGGGCCTCTTGGTCCGTCTTGGGCGGCACTTGGGCCGTCTTGAGGGCTCTCTTGGGTCGTTTCGGCGCCGTCTTGGGAGCTTCGTGGGCCGTCTTGGAGCGGTCTTGGGGGCCTCTTGGGCCGTCTTGGAGCGTCCGGAAGCCGAAAAAGCCAGAACACAAAAAACATCGAAAAAACCAATGAAAATCAACGATTTTGGCCTCTTGGGGCTCTCTTCGGAGGCCTCTTGGAAGGCTCTTGGGGCGTCTTGGAGGCCTCTTGGGCTGTCTTGGGGGCCTTTTGGGCCGTCTTGGGGTCATCTTCGGCGTCTTCGAGCGCTCTTTGGGCGTCTCGGGGGCCTCTTGGGCAGTCTTGGGGGCCTCTTGGGGCACTCTGAGCGCGCTCTGGGGAGCCTGAGAGGCCGCACCCAGAAGGAAAACCATCTCTGAGTAGACTTGGTCGGGCGGCGGTCGGGCGGCGACCGGGCGGCGACCGGGCGTTGGTCGGGGTACTTTTCGCCGGGGGACCCCCAGGGGCCGCCCCGCGCGCGCGAACTAGAAATACTGTTAATACTGTTAACCAGTTACAGGAGATCTTAGCACGCCCTGGCCCGTTGGGCCGGCGAATTTTGGGCCGTAGGTCGAACCCCCATATGTGGTCACGAAGCGTGGTATGCGGGCCCTGGCGCTGGGATCTGCGGTGGAGCTCCCTATGGGGCCACGCAGCGCTGTATTGGATGGGGGGGACGCATGCGGGCTGCGCCACTGCGACCTGCGGTGGGGTCCCTTATGAGGCCACGAAGCGCTGTACTGGGTGGGGTGTACGCACGCGTGCTCCGCAACTGGGACCTTCTGTGGAGCTCTCTCTGGGGCCACGAAGCGCTTTACTGAGCAGGGGAGACGCATGCGAGTTCCGCCACTGGGACCTTCTATGGGGCCACGAAGCGCTGTACTTGGTGGAGGAGACGCATGCGAGTTCCGCCACTGGAGCTTTCGGTGGAGCTGCCTATGGGGCCACGAAGTGCTGTACTGGGCGGGGGGGACGCATGCGAGTTCCGCCACTTGGACCTTCGGTGAAGCCCCCTACGGGGCCACGAAGCGCTGTACTGGGCGGGGGGGACGCATGCGAGCTTCGCCACTGGGACCTTCGGTGGAGCTGCCTACGGGGGCCACGAAGCGCTGTACTGGGTGGAGGGGGCGCATGCGAGTTCCGTCACTGGGACCTTCGGTGGGGCTCCCTGTGTGGCAACGAAACGCTGTAATGGGTGGGGGGACGCATGCGAGCTCCGCCACTGAGCCTTCGGTGGAGCTCCCTGCGGGGGCCACGAACCGCTGCACTGTGTGTGTATGTGTGTGTGTGTGTTTGTGTGTGCGTGCGTGCGTGCGTGCGTGCGTGCGTGCGTGCGTGCGCGTGTGTGCGCGTGTGTGCGTGTGTGTGTGTGTGTGTGTGTGTGTGTGTGTGTGTGTGTGTGTGTGTGTGTGTGTGTGTGTGTGTGTGTGTGTGTGTGTGTGTGTGTGTGTGTGTGTGTGTGTGTGTGTGTGTGTGTGTGTGTGTGTGTGTGTGTGTGTGTGGTGTGTGTGTGTGTGCATGCGAGTTCGAGTTCTGCCAATGGGACCGTCGGTGGAGCTCCCCACGGAGCCAGGAAACCTTGGAGGGAGGGGGGGACGCATGCGAGTTCCACCACTGGGACCTTCGGTGGAGCTCCCTATAGGACCACGAAACGCTGTACTGGGTGGGGGAACGCATGCGAGTTCCGCCACTGGGACCTTTGGTGGAGCTCCCTATGGGGCCACGAAGCGCTGTATTGGTTGGGGGACGCATGCGAGTTCCGCCACTGGGACCTTCGGTGAAGCCCCCGATGGAGCCACGAAGCACTGTATTAGGTGGGGGGACGCATGCGAGCTCTGCTAGTGGGTCCTTCGGTGGAGCTCCTTCTGTGGGGCCACGAAGCGCTGTACTGGGTGGGGGGACGCATGCGAGTTCCGCCACTGTGACCTGGGGTGGAGCCCCTATGGGGCCAAGAAGCGTTGTAGTGGGTGTGTCGAAACAGAGACATGCGGAGGGATAGACAAGGGCAGGAGGAGCGAGAGGAAAGAACGCGGGGTGTTGTCTCTTCATCGAGGACCCAACACCACAGGATGATTGGGGAAATGCACGAGCTTCACGGATTGAGGGCGGGGCGTTTTAAACATGTGTGTTTTCGTTTTAGCACCGCGCACATTCGTCTTAAAGATTTGCAGGAGTTCCATTGAGGGTGGCTCCTTTTCAAAATGTGGATCTCGCCTTCGCGCCGCGCGCATTCGTCTTCAAGTGTTGCCAGAGCTGCAACTATTCCCATGGATATCGTATCAGGACTGGCGTTTTGGAACGATTCAGACATGTTAGGGCGCAGCAGTCACGTTGGCTCGCGGTGTTGAAGCCCCCGGGATGGTTCTGGCACGGCTCAGGGTCCTAAAGGTGCAACAGTCCGGTTGTTTCGTGGCGTTGGGGTCCCGAGAATTGGCACGGTGCAGGAACGTCCAATGTTTCTCTCCCAATGGGGCTTTTCCCTCAGTGGAATTGAATCCTTCTAGGGGCCTATGAAGAGGGAGCTTGGAGGGAGGGTTCATTCCAACATCTTTGATGAGTCTTGAGTTTACACTGGTCGTCCTCCTCCTCGTCGCTCGCCTACGTCGTCCTCGTCCCTCTCCCGTTCATCCTCCTCAGCTTCGGTGGTCAGTCTTCTTCTCTTCGTCTCTTTCTTACTTCTTCGCCTCCACATCGCCACCCTATTCAAACCCCTACCCCGCTCCATCCCCCCTTCCTGTTCATCCTGGATCCTCCCCTCCTGCCTGCTCGTCCAGTATGGAATGCCCCAGGGACTGCATGTGAAACCGCCTCGCGGCTGCCAGCGTTGCAACCTCCAGGGCCGGATCTCGCCGATTTTCTTTGAGTTTCTCTTGACGCCTCGGGGTTTGGGGAATCCGAATGCACGCGCTGGTCCAAGCTTCCACATCTCTCTCCTTTCTCGTCCTCCTACTGCAATTCTGGGACCAGCATGCTAGGCTTTTGCTTCAGAGTTTTAGCGGCGAGCTTAAGTATTCGGTCCTGCACACGCTGGCCATGGCTCCAGACTCGTAGACGGTAAGTAGTCATTCTTAGCAGGAAGCCCTCAAGGTGAAAAGCCTCCAGGATGAGTCATCCCTCCAAGCGTAGGCGAGGTTGGCCGCCCAAGTCAACAACAGTGCAGATCTTGTTGTTGCGCTCGGTCTCGAGTGCCACCCCAGGTTCGACCCTGCCGCCCTTGCTACCGTCAGGAAGTCATCCGCATCGCTAGATACAATGCGATATCCGCCCCAGGAGTTCTAGCGCTCGGCAAGAATCACAGGTAAAGGAACGAGCGAGCCGCTTTGCCTCGGAACAAGTAGGCCTGAATGTGTGCATGAATGGATGCGGACTGAAGGCCCAGCTCCGTTTCGTTGCAGCTCGTGCCCACAAAGTGGTATATGTGAGGTCGCGCGAAAGTTGCAAGCAGCTATGCGCAGCGCTTCGGCAGGGCATCGAGCGCATCCACGATCCGCATGCCATGGCTGTCGCCGAGATTGACTAGGGCTCTCTCTGGTATTTCTGGATGAAGTGCGGATGCCAGACGCCGTTTGCATGTTGGACGCTGCACCCGCGTGCCCTGGCCCACACCTCCCCAGCAGCAGAGGCCGAGTGGACGCTCTCGGCCGACTGCTCAGCGGCAGGCACCCCGAGAGTGCCGCCGGAGTCGAAGGAGCTCGGGCGTACAAAGCGTCTCGGTTCAAGGCCGCGCAGGCAGCTCAGCGCGCCGAGTCTCGGCGGTGCTGACCCACGCTCTCGCGGTTTGAGGAGAGCCCAATGACGGAAACAACAAACTCTCTCTTCCCAATCCTTCTCCTCCTCCTCCTCGTCCTCCTCCTCTGTTCCTCATCCTCGCCGTCCTCCCCTCCTCCTTCTCACTATTCTTCCCCCCCTTCCCCCCTCCTTGTTCTGCCCCTTCACTCCTACTCCCTGTCACCCTCCTGCCGCTCACCCCTCGTCCTCCTTCACATCTTCCTCCTATTCATGCTACACCTCCTCATCCTGCCCTCGCCCTTGCATCTCCCAAGTGCAATCGCCCTTTCACGCAGCTGGACACCCCTCTTAACTGGTCCTCATTCCTCTTCATGCTTCCTTCTCCTCCTCCATTCTCATTTTTGTCCTCCCTCTGCCTCTCCTCCTCCGCCTCTTCCTCCTCCTCGTCCTCCTCCCTTTTCCGATCCTGATCCCCCGAGGCCAAAATCTCTCTTCCCATCCCCCATCGCCCCTCCCTTGTCCCCGAGGGGGACCTGGGCTTGACGAGGGCACCTAAACGGGTGGTGCCAGCTTCCGGACCATCGGGGACGACAAGCGGGGATTCCCCGGCTTCCTCCCGACCAACACTTTCCGGGCCCAGAACCAGAGCCCCGGCGAAGAGTGGGTGCGCGCCGACACGTTGGGGGAGGATCCTCCACCCTCCTCACGAACCTCTCTCCACTGTCCTCCATCTCCCTCATTTCTCCTTTCCCCTCTCATCCCCCCTGGTTCTCCCTCCCCTCGCCTCCTCCTCCGCTCCCTCCCTCAGAGTGTGCATGACCTACCCCGCTTTCGCTTCCAGGCAAAACCAAGTCATACCACGCGCCTCCTCGTCAATTGGCCTGACCAGTACAGGCTGCAATTTGGCATCGTTTGGTATCTCTTGGAAGCGAGGGTGGTCAAAAGCGAGGTAGGACCGAACACGGTGGAGCGGCGGAAACGTAAGCGTGAGCTCTCGTATGCCTCGTTTTCAGTATCAGCTCAGGCTAACATGTGTCTGCCTCCAAGGGGCCGAAGCCCCTGATCGAACCAAAAGGTTGCGGAAAGGGGCTGAGTGTCTGGCATCCTCAGAAGGCCTCTAGAGGGACCCTGGGTCAACTCGCACGCCCCAGAATTCTAGATGCCAAGACACCTGTGAGCAGCCTCCCCTCTCAACTCGACACGGTTCGACCAGGGTTTAAATTCTTTACGCTTCGCGTATCCCCACCAGCCCATCTCACAACAGCAACTCTTGCGAAGCATGCCGACAGTCGTGTTTTTCAGGCGTGTGTCCGCTTGGCCCCGCATATGTCCCCTGTGACTCCTTCCTCCCGCCTCCTTGTACATCCTCCTTGTGGGGGGAGCGGGAGAAGGACGAGGCGGAGGAGGAGGGGGAGAAAGCGCTCCTCGTGGTTTGAGTCGTTTGGGGTTTCTCGTCCTGGTGTGAGTCGTTCGGGCCCTTCTTCCTGGTGTGAGTCGTTCGGGCTCTTCGTGGTGTGAGTCGTTCGGGCTCTTCGTCCTGGTGTGAGTCGTTCGGGCTTCTCGTGGTGTGAGTTGTTCGGGCCCCTCGTCCTGGTGTGAGTCGTTCGGGCCCCTCCTCCTGGTGTGACTCGTTCGGGCTCCTCGTGGTGTGAGTCGTTCGGGGCCCTCGTCGTGGTGTGAGTCGTTCGGGCTCCTCGTGGTGTGAGTCGTTCGGGCGCCTCGTCCTGGTGTGAGTCGTTCGGGCCCCTCCTTCTGGTGTGAGTCGTTCGGGCTCTTCGTGGTGTGAGTCGTTCGGGCCCCTCGTCCTGGTGTGAGTCGTTCGGGCTCCTCGTGGCGTGAGGCGTTCGGGCACCTCGTCCCCTTTTGGGGCGTCTTGGGGGCCTCTTGGCGGCCCCAGGGGCTTCTAGGAGCGTCTTGGGTGCCTTGGGGGAGCCTCTTCGGGCCTCTTGGGAGCCTCTTGGAGGCCGGTTGGGGCGTCTTGGGGGCCTCTTGGCGGCCCCAGGGGCTTCCAGGAGCGTCTTGGGTGCCTCGGGGGAGCCTCCTGGGGCCTCTTGGGGGCCTCTTGGGGGCATCTTGGGGGCCTCTTGGAGGCCTCTTGGGGGCCTCCTGGGGACCTCTTGGGGCCATCTTGGAGCCTCTTGGTGCCTCCTGGGCGCTTCTTGGGGCCATCTTGGAGGGAATGGATCACAGAAGAGGGGAGCTTGTATGAGCGCTGCCCCCTCAGAAGGGCAAAATGAGCCCAAAACCTTCGTAAAATCAATGATTTTGCTTTGAAGGAAGAGGAGAGCTTTAATGAGTGCCCCCTCAGAAGGCCAAAATGGGGCCAAAACCGTAGTAAAATCAATGTTTGTGGCTTCAGAGAAGAGGAGAGGGTTTTGTCTGCCTCCCCCCGTCGGGGCCAAAATCCTCGTGAGGGTCGTCGTTTTTTAGGCCTCCCAGGAGTCGAAAATGACCCCCCAACGACCCGCGAGGCGCCCTCTCCAGGCCCAGGGGAGGGGGTAGGGGGAGGGGTAAACCCCTCCCCGAAGGGGAAGAAGGGGGGTTGAGAACAGAGAGAGCTCGCTAAACCACTCACGCCCAAAGGGCTGGTGGGACTCCAACTCTCGCGCGTAGCGCGTATATCTAGCAGAGAGCGCGCAGCGCTGCAGAATACAGGTGAGATCGTGCGCCTCGGTTCAGTAGAGGGTGTCGTCCTCGTCGCAGGCCTCCCGAACGCTCCCCTTCTCGTCACTCTCGAAGCTCTCTCAGCCTCTCGGATCTTGAGCGCCTGATCCTCCTCCACGATAACGTACTCACCCTTCTGCAAGATCCCCCGCAGTAGGTCGGCACACCCGTTGCGCTTCGTCAGAGAGTCCGGTGATCTGGTGCCGCTTGCCATCCACCCAGCGGATGCTGGCACCGCTGCCCTGCATGCTCTCCTTCAGTATCGCGATGTCCAGAGCGGTCCTCCGGTCCTTGCTCGGGCCACCGGAGATGTTGTGCAGGTGGTCGTACAGGCATTTGCTGTCCGTCACCACGGTCAGCGGGAACGTCCTGCCAGCCTCGGGCGCCGTCCGGGCGTCCAGGCCAGGGAAAGCCAACTGAGCGAACAAGCTGCGTAGGTAGATTCCGTTCGCCAGTCCTTCGTCCACTCCCAGTGTCTCAGCAGCCAGCGAGCTCGGCACCTTCCGAGCGAGCCGATGAGATCTCCATTCCATTGGGGATATCTTGCCCCACATCCCCTTGCAGATGCTCAGGTCGCCAGCGAGGAGTAGCCAGCCCGCCTGGCTCGCCTGGTCCTTCGCGTTCGCCCAGGCCGCTTTCGCCACTGCAAAGAAGCCCAGGTTCTTCAGATCAATCGGCCTGATCCAGAGCGTCGTGTGGGAGAAATCCTTGGCGATCCTGGCCACCCGGTTCCCCTCCAGCAGGTCGGACACCTTCGGCTTCGGGAAAGTGCCCTGCAGCAGCGAGACTGGCCCGCTCAGGTCAGGGCGTGTCTCGCGTCCCACATAGTCGAGGGATCCTGCCACGGCCCTCAGCGCGGATATCTCCTGGTCGTTGCATGGCTCGTTGGGCGTCGCACGGCGCCCGGCTGTGATGTTGATCATCTCGATCTCATCGACCATGTTCTTCTGGTTGATCTTGACCGACTTGTCGGGCAGCTGCTCCAGCTGCTTGCCCAGGAAATCGCCCTTGCCCTTCCGGTACTTGCCGAAAGGAAACCTCCGCTTGATCTTTTCCATTGCCCTCTGAAAGTACTCATCGCCTCCGCCGCACGTATCATCCACGGCCAGTGCGATCGAGCCTCGGTACTTGCCGTCCTGGTGCAGGTAGAGCAGGCAGGGGTCGTACGAGCTGATCTTGAATCCCGCGGCCAGAGCCTCAGTGGTGAAGCTCTTGTACCACTGCAGCGGCGCGTCCCCGAGTCCGTAGACGCAGACCAGCACCTCTAGCAGCGACCCTGGCTCGGCTCCAGGAGCTCCGTCAGCGGGTAGCTCACAGTAGAGCGGGCCCTGCTTCCGCTGGTACCGGTACCCGTTCATGAAGGCCGAGCTGATGTCCCCCAGCTCAATGTCGAAGCCCATGGACACGTTCAGCTGCATGCTCATCATCCAGGCCTCCTTCGATACCATGGGCGAGTAGGTCTCCAGCTCGGCGAGGTCTGGGTCCTTGTCTCCGCGTCCGACCCAGCGGCACTTCGCCTGCCGTCGGCCGTCCTTCTGCTTCCACGTGTAGCAGTGTCGGCTAGGCGTCATCCTGTCCCCGTGCGTCTTCCTGATCTCGTTCGCCTCGGACGGCGGCACGATGCGCACGGCCTTCGCGCCCTTGATGTTGCTCCACTCCGTGCCCTTCGCCTCCATGAACTCCTCCTTCTCGTCCTCCGTGAGGTTCTTGAGGTATACCTCCTTCCGCTTCGCCGCCTGCTTGACGGAGAGGAACGCCGCCTCCACTGTACCCGTCGCATCGTCGGTCATGGGCATCTCTGGCGTCTCGTCCACCTGTTTCTTCAGCGACCCAGGTCCTTCTGGCACCGGTGCCGGTGCGTAGCTCTCGCGGGCGCTCCTCGTGGAGGTGTAGCGCCTCCTCGGGGCCTCTTCGGTCGACGGCTTCCCAATCATCGGGACGTCCTCCTGCTCCTCGGCTGCGCCCTCGCCGTCAGGTCCGAACACCTCCGGCACCGGGATGGATGGCGCCGTCTCCTCCCTCGGCTGCTCGTCCTTCGTCTCGCTCTCCGCCTGGTCCTCCGCCTCGGGTCCCGGTGGGTCCAGCTGGTCCGAGATGTCCTCCACAGCTCGCTTACCCTGAGATCCGACAGGCTTGCGCACCCCGCTGGTCTCCGTCACATATCGGTTCGCTTGAACCTCTGCCGTCGTGGCGGCCCTCAGCTGCTTCCAGCTGCACAGGATGACGCCACCCTGGTAGGACACGTAGGCCTTCCCGGGGATGTTCGTGCTGATGACGGTGGCAGGTCCTCTCCAGTGCTCCCAGGCCTCTCGCTTGGGCCCCTGTTGCCTCCAGTAGTACACCTTGTCGCCCGGCTTCCAGTCACCTCGAAAGGGCGTGCTCCTCCTGTTCTTGGCCCTGTCCAGGCGGTCCAGCACCGACTCCCGGGCGTGCGCCTCTCGGGCTGCCAGTCGCAACCCGATTGACTTCGCGAGGGCTCGGTCTCCTGCAGCGTGGCGTGACACCGTCTCCAGGCTCACGTCGTCGTCGTCGTCGTCGTGCGTGCCCTCCGGCAATCGAACTCCTCGACCAAACACTCGTAGGTCCGCACCTCTCTCGTTCACCGCGCAGTTGACGGCGTCGAACAGCTCCTCCTGATCGTCGGCGCTCAAGATCGCCTCGGTCAGCCTGATGCGGTAATACGTCCTCTTCCAGAGTTGGCCCGCCGTCTCGGTCTTGCCGTTCTGGTACTCGCTCTCGGCTCCGACCGGGCCCAGCTCCGTGCCCTCGGCGCTAGCCCTATCCGCGAAGATCCCGCGGATGATGCCCTTCTCCTGATCGCTGATGAGGCGCTTTGGTCTCCCGTACGGCCGCATCCAGTGCCTCCGGTACGCCTGCCTGATCGTCGTGCTCTCTCGGTCCGGGAGCCTGATGACCATCTGCTTGCCCGTTCCCCAGTCGACGATGTTGAGGCACGGGGTGGTCTCGTTCTTGGGCTTATCCTCGCTGTCCCAAGTGGTGTCCACGAACAGCAGGTCCATGCCG